TTATAATCAATGTAATGAAACAAGGTATATGCTTTGTTGAATGTAAAACTCATGATATGCCCTGTAAACTTTTACTCAATCCACAATAAAAACCTTAAAAAAAAAAAAAAAAAATGCATGTAATTGTAGCAAAAAGGGGTGAGTAGTTGATCTTATAATCCAGGAGTGGAGGACCCTGGGACCATCAAAGGGAAAAGAGCTGAAGCAGAGTATGGAACCCTATCCAGAGAAGCAGTGATTGTATATTTGAGTATTTTGGTATACATAAAAAAAAAAAAGAAAGAAAACAGAGGGAATGAAGCAAATGAGCTCTGGTAGCGTAGAGATTACGAGTAGGACTGCTAACCTCAAAGTCAGCAGTTCGAAACTACCACCTGCTCCACGGGAGACAGATGAGGCTTTCTCCTCCCGTAAAGATTTACAGCCTCAGAAACCCTACACAGGGTCACTATGAGTCGAAACCGATTTCATGCATCACCACAAGCAAATACTGTTGAATGATGATGCATGAAGGGGATTGTAATCATTGCAATGAAACAAAATATGATGGGATAGTATAAAACTGATGTTCCCCCATATAAACTATCATTCTAATTCACAATAAAAACTTTTTTAAAAAAGCATGTAAATCACATATGGTGATGGCAATATGCTTTGGAGTAAGTTCTGACTCAGCAACCCTGTATAGAGTTTCCAAAGCTGTAAATCTTTAAGGAAGCAGAAACCCTCATCTTTCTCCCACAGAATGGCTGGTAGCTTCGAGCTGCTGACCTTGAGATGAACAGCCCAACTCGTAACCACTACACTACTAGATCTCCTTATTACATATCCTATGTACATAACATGTCGTCATTGTTAAGAGCTGCTGAGTTGGTTCCAACTCACAGCGAGCCTGTATAGGTTTCCGAGGAGCAGTTGGTGAGCTCCTGCTAAAGCAGGATCAAACTGATCATGTGGAGCATCCGATGCTAAACTTCTAGAGGCATGTGGCTGACTGGGCTACCTACAACTGTGAGACTAACTCAGGGAATGTGTAACAGTGCTATTAGGGTAAGGGGACAGGAAGAAAATCACTAGCAGCAGCATAAAGATCCACAGAACCACAAAAAAAAACTATTTGATTTAATAAGCTTACTTATTCTTAGTGTATAATGCAAAGCTACTTATTTGTAGTCATTTTTAAATCAGTGGCTTAATATGGGCTAGCTCTGCTCTGACCTCAGTTCATGGGCCCAAGGTGGAGGTATTTTTCATTTTTCTTCATTCCACAGCACTCATTGGTGACCCAGTGAGCAAAGGGTTTCATTGATGGAGAACCATTTTTCAAGGGCCTTTTAAGGAAAAAAGCCTTTATTCTTACATTTGATTGTGTTCCTTCCATTTATAATGTAATAGCATCTCCACAAAACACGGGAATATGAAACCCTCTCAAATGTTATTTTAGGTATTGAATTACTCACTGGTTACCCCAGGATACACAAAACTAGCTCTTCTGACTCTCTCAAGCCTACTCCATTAGGAGCCTTAGATTGTATTGGTTTGTTTCACACATACAAATGTTTAACACACTCAAATAAATGACCTCTCAGGAGGCTACTCTGTTAATAAATGACAGATCTTTGAATAAGAGGTAGTAAACAGTACAAAGTTTATTCAATGTCAGATTCAAAGATCAACAACAATGTCCCTAACCTAAGAGTTTCCTCACCTGGGATTCCCCAGGTTTTGATCAAGAAAAATGACCAGCAATCATAGACTGGAATTGAAAACGAAAAGAAGAGAAACATAAATCATTACTTAATATATGGAGATGATAGAATAAGTCTATAAAAATATGCAGCTCATCAAGAACTAAGAGGATACTAACAGAGCGTTTTCAAGGTCTGGTACTCAGTCAAGGATTCAATACTCAGACGCAGACCCAAACATAAGTTGTGAGGTACTACCTACCTCTTGGCCGAGGCTGGAGACTTGGCCACAATCACTGCATTCCTGTAATCTGGGATCTGTGGCAAACAAGAGGTCAGAGGTTACTGCCACGGCTCTAAGAGTCTCTTCCCACTAATACCCAACATGCAATAGAAAGGAATGCCTAAATAGACTAAAAAATGTCATCTTGGTGTGTGCATGTTTCCAAAAATGTCCTCAGGCAACTAAAAAAGCTCAACATAAATTTTTCTTTTGGAAAATGAAGAAAATGTTCTTAGGAAAAATATTACTAAGGTGTGAGACTCACAGAGTTCTAGAAAAAAAAAAAAAAGCCATAATTGGTGATTAGCTTATATCTATACACCAGAAAATATTGACAATTTTCCATGAAGAAGTTTTTCAGAAAGTCAACAGATAGTATTAGCATATATCCCAGTTACATGTAATTTTCAGATAGCCAGAATGATATCCATCCAAACACCAGAACTCAAGTTCATTGTCAAATTCCAAATTAATATGGCCAAATAAATGACAACTTACAATATCTCAGTCACAACTATTAAAGGACAATCATTCTACTGCTAATTTCATAAATACATTAAAAATCCTTAACAAAACAACTAAAGTATCAGAAAACTTTGGAGTCTTTTACTGTTGACAACTTTAAAGTAATCTGTGATGGTTATAATTCAAAGATATACCCATTTTCAACTTCTGGGAGTTTAAAAGACAGAACTGCTTTGATACTGAACAGTGATTTGTTGTTTCTGACTCTTTCTTGGCATTATGTTCTTGAAATGTAACCATTTCACTAAAATCACATTATTTCATTCAAATCAATTCCCACTGATTTTTTTTCTCACACTTATGCCAGATCAATGCATTTTAATACAATTTCAAACATCTAGCACTGTATATAAGCCCTGGTGTGGCGCTGTAGGATAAACCCACCTGTGGCGCTTGGAAACTGGCTCAACAGTACAGAACAGCAACAAGAAGAAGAAGCACTTTATACAATGCTTAGCACACAAAAAGCACTACATAAACACCTAGTTAAAAAACTAAAGACTGATGATTTTAAAGAAGGATTTAGTATACGTTAAGACAGCACAATCACAAGGATCAAATGTCTACAGTAAAGCCTCATTTATCCAACATTATCCAACTAGAGGAGTCCTGGTGACAGAACAATGAGTGCTTGACTGCTAACCAAAAGGCAGGTAGTTCACACCCACTAGTGACTCCATGGGACAAAAGACCTGGAGATCTGTTCCCATAAAGATTACAGCCGGGAAACCCTATAGGGCAGTTCTACTCTGTCATATAGACTCACTATGAATAGGAATCAACTCAGTGAAACACAATAATAACATCAAGGTAGGAAAATATATTTTATTTGCACATTTTCATTATTTTTGCTTGCAGTCCTCCTAAACTGTCTTCTGTGATTTAGAAAATCAACATAACTAAAAGGGAACATCAAACCCAGCAAATGAAAAAATTAACATTCAAGGAAACAAGAGTCAGTAAAACAAATAAAAGGAAACTTTAAAAGAAAGAACTCTAATAAAAATAGATCTATCCATCTTAGGGATTAAAGCCAAGACAGTATACACATGAAGAACCACAAAGAAATCTAGGCAACAGAAGCTATTGTGGTACAAAAACAACCTTAGTAGCTGGGCTGGCTGGCAGTCAGAATGGACACAGTTTAAGAACAAATATGGGAGATTAACTAAAGAATCTTCCTAGAAAAAAAGCATATAAAGACTTAAAAATGAATCCCAGAATTATAAAAGACTTCACCAGAAGAGTAAAAAGGAACCCACAGAATGGGAAAAAAAATATTTGCAATGACACATCAGACAAGGGAATCATTTCTAAAATACATAGGAAACTACAACACCTCTACAAGAAAAAGACAAATAACCCAATTAAAAAATGGGCACAGGACATGAACAGACAATTCACCAAGGAAGAGATCCAGGCAGCCAACAAACATATGAAGAAATGTTCACGATCACTAGCCATTAGAGATTCAAATCAAAACAATAATGAGATATCATCTCACACCAGCAGTAACAGCAAAGATCAAAAAAAGAAGACAATAAATGCTGGCGGGGATGTGGCGAGGCTGGGACACTCCTGCATTGCTGGTGGGACTGCAAAATGGTCCAATCTCTATGGAAAGCAATATGGCGCTTCCTCAGAAGACTGAAAATAGAAATACCTTATGATCCAGCAATTCCTCTACTTGGTACTTACCCACAAGAAAAACGAGCCATAACACAAGAAGATATATGCACTCCAATGTTCATAGCAGCACTATTTACAATAGCAAAAAGATCAAGGCAGCCAAAGTGCCCATCAACTGATGAATGGATAAACAAACTGTAGTACACAATGGAATACTATGCTACCTTGAAAAATAACAAGGAAACTGCAAGCCACCATTTAACATGGATGAACTTTAAGGACATTATGTTGAGTAAAATTAGTCAGCCACAAAAGGAGAAATACTGCATAGGACCATTACTGTAAAAGACTAAGAAAAAGAACCCATATTAAAGGGAATGCGGATTCTTTGCTTTTTGCTGGGATGTGAGGGTGGGGTGAGGGGAGGGAGGGGAAGGTGGGGCACAGGACAGGGAATAGACACAGGATAGTTTGGGTGCTGGGGAGGAGAGCAATATACAAGAAGGGAGAGGTGAATGGAAGAACAAAGCAGATGAGAGAACAATTAGGCAGGTTTGCACGGGCTAAGTGGGACAGAGGTAATAATGATATATGCACAAAGTTGAAACAACAGAGCTCTGGGATACATTGATTGAGACATGGTTGGAATGGGGAAAAGGGGGGAATAATGTTATGATGCTTGGCTGTCTTGAATCTTGGTTTTCCTTACATTATATTATAAAATAGACACTGAAGGGGGAGAGAAAGGAATAGCCAGAAACATCACCATAGAAAGCTTGTAAGTCCGTCTTATGCCTATAACTGAATGGAATACCTAAAATGGAGTTACAACGTGCCCAGTTAAGGAGGCTTCCTGCGGAGCCTCTGCATTACATAAAACTATAGGGGGAAGCCTGAACCACATCCAGATCTCCAGAGATAGGAAATTTCCACTTGCAAGGACGAGCAGACCAGCCTGGAGCGGCTAGAAGAATAGAAGATACTTCTTGAAAGAAACACCTACAGGAAAAATATAAAAACAATATAGGCAGACCAACTGTTACTACAAAAACAAGCAAGTTGCTTGCCCAGGAGACATCAAGGCAAGTGGTCGGGTCCCCTCAGTGTAAACCCCCTTCCAAGACTAAGACTCAATGGGAATACATGCTTTGATTGGTGACCACGCTCGTCACCAATAAGGGGAAGTGAGGAAAAAACAGCAATGACGCTGCAAGCTTAGCCCTACAATGTTCAATAGACTCCTGTGAACCTGGATGGAGACCTGGTTGGCCAGCAGTGTGGCAAGACCTGGGGACGCTTGGGCCCAGAGTCAGTGACACAGCCACAGAGGACTACAGTGGAGAGTGAAGTATCCAGCTGATAAAAAGAGAGGGCATATGCACAAGAACACCCACACTTGCAGATAATACTCACTTGACCCGGCTTCAATGACTGGATGATCAGAGCTCAACCAGAAGAAGAAAGAAGAAGAAAACAAGAGTAATCTGATACAATTTAATGAACTTGACCTACACCTACGGATGCAGTAGCTCAAAAGATGGAACAAATCCTTACAGCAAGGATCATTCCCACCCCCCTCCATACACAGAGTGGACACGGATGGGCAACTTGGACACTGGCTACCCAAAATGGGGGGGCTACAAAGGCAAGAAGTGACTGGCTTATAAGCTTTCAAAAGGGAACCTAGATTCAGAAGGCATTAAGGAAGATAGAATCTCCACCAAGTAGTATCCAATCTGTCTAGGCGGGGATGATGAAATGAAATGCAGATAGGTCTCTTGTGATACAATAGTGAATAATTGTTATCAGGACTGCTTGTGAGGGTTGGAAATGTAAAGCTAGACGTTCTATAGCAAAGAGAGGAGTGATTTAACTTTTCAGTCTAGGAGCAGAGGTCCCTGGGACTATCATGGGAGAAGAGCAGAGAGCAGGACCCTACCTAGAAAAGCAGTGATGCCTGAGATGGAGGCAGAGACAATGTCGTGGAGAGATGGAGCAGCTGGGGACTACAGACACAGAGAGGGAGAGGAGCTGTGTGCTGAGGACCGGGGGGGCAGGCTTATAATATATACCCTTTGGTTGGTTGATAATGCATGGAGGGGACTGTAACCATGGCAATGAAACAATATACAATAGGATGAATGTAAAATGTAAAACTAATGTTCTCCCATGTAAACTATCACATAATTCACAATAAAACATTATTTAAAAAAAGCATATAAAGATACAAAACTCAAAATTTAAACAAACTAAAAAAGGAATTAAAACAATATAGAGGCAATATCTAAAAGTTTCATCATCTCACAGTTCCCAAAGGAAAAAAAAAACAACAAAAGAAATAGAAGGTAAAGATGATAGAAAATTTTTCCTAGAACATGAATGGAAAAATGATCCACCCAAAAACATCAGGTGAAATTTCAAAACCACAAGCAAAATCACAAAACTCTATTTTAGATGGTGAATTTCTGGCATCCTATCGGAATTGACTTGATGGCACTTAACAATAATAACATCCCTCACAGTTTAGGAGTCCTATACAAAGTCCTGGTATGGCGCTATGGGTTAATGCGCTGGACTGCAAAGTTTGTTTGATCCACAAGGTTGGCAGTTCAAGCTCACCAGCTGTTCCTCAGAAACCCTATACACGGTTGCTATGGGTCGGAACTGACTCAGTGGCACTTAACAACAACTTCCCCTTTCACAGTAGCATATGATAAGCACTGAACTGCAAACCACAAAGTGCTGATATGAGCTCACCAGTCACTCTGCAAGAGAAAAGATGAGGCTATCTGTTCCCATGAAGATTTAATGCCTTGGAAGCCATATACAGGGTCACTATAAGTTGGAACCAAGTCTATGGCACTTAACAACCCCTCACAAA